CCATTGATGACCACAGGGGGACACGTGCCTCTGCGCAATGTGAAGGTTATATGAGCTAATCAGAAATAAATCAAATAAAAATCTTATGTTAATAAAAATGGATATATTTATTAAATCAACAAATGATAAAGTATTATAGAAGGATTGTTTATTTTTCTTTTTCATCATTTTCATCGAATACGTTTTTGATAAAATAAAATATCAATAATATATCTACACGATAACGAATATTTATTTTATTTTGGTTTGTAGTCAAACGAATAGGAATATTTTTGTACGTTTTTTTTACTTTTGTTCTATAGAAAACCATCACACCGACCTCGATAATTACGATGACAACCATATTCAATCCCGGTTAAACTACTACATGCATAGGATACTTCGACATGTTCATTCGTATCGAACGAAAAAAAAGCTTCAAATAGACGAGAAAACACAGCACAGATCAACGTGAGTTTGATTTTTTATTTTTATGCGAATCTATTATAAATAATTAGAAAAATAATGATCTCTTAGAGTTTAATGTTCTAAAATTATATATAAAATATAATTACGAATTATCGTGATGTGCATCGTGAATTATATATATGTATTTTTATTTATAATATTTTTTATTTTATTTCTTTAATACGTTACCGTAAAATTAAAAACACTAATAATACACGTGTACGTAAGTTAACGTTAAAATTAATATCTTTATGAAAAATAAACTTTTGTTAATTGAAAAATGTATCTTTGAATTTGAAAAACTCGATGATGATATTATTCGTATTAAAATATTGTTTAACGTTGTTTTAATTGGTTGGTTACGTGACGTAACATGCAGATAACGAGAAGAAATACGAAGATGTTGAAGGAAACTCATGCTATTCCTTTCGAGCAGAAAATATTTCTAAAGAAATGGGGGAATAGCGATTACAAAACGCCAGGATGAAGATGAATCGATCGAGGAAGAAGATGCAACGAACCGATTATTAAGGTATTTCTTGGGCATTTTTTTATTTTTTATTGTTTATTTTTTTCATCGATAAAGTAGTAGTCAAATTTAAAGTATTGATATTCATTCATTTTTTTTGTCGATTCGATCGATAAACCGATGTCGATATTTATTAATAAATCAAATATTTTTAATGTTATTTACATCAACAATTTTTTGTATTCACTTTAAATATTATTAATTAATGAAAGATATATATTTAATTTAGGTGCACCTGTTATTACAATTATTTAAGTTACTTTATTTCAATTATTATTATTTTATTGAATTATATCAATATATTACTTTTAAATGATAAATAATTTTGAAAGAGTATTTTGTTATGCGTATTATTAATAATATTTTTTGGTAGATATGTTAACTCAAATTATTAACATCGTATCGATACTTTGATTATTTTATTTAATTATATTCATAGATATTTCATTAAATGAATAATTATGAAAGTTCTAGTAACAAGCGTTAATTAAAATTTAATTGCGTTACTTACAATTAATGATATATTAATTGTTAATATTAATATTATTAATGTTTAAAATTGTTTGTTAAGATTAGGTGCACCAATGAAAAGTGTCATCCGTCCTTGTTCGAATCGCAACGTGCCTTACTTTCGACCATCACCAATCCGGTCACGAGATGATTTTCACTTTGCGAAAAACAGCCTGTTTAAGTTTAATTATTATTACTTTTTTTTCCCTTTTCTTTTTTTTTTTTTTTTTTTCGTTGAAACACACCTTTCGAAACCATCTTGAAGAAGAAGAAAAAAGAAATTGAAATAATAACATTGGACAAGGGAAAGAAATGTGATTGCTGTTCGAAGTTTACATTGATTATGCGAAACGTTGCATCAATTTGCATTTGAGTGAGTATTTAATATATTATAAATATGTTTCTGTTGTTTTATTTAATAAGATTTAGGTGAATAATTTTGTTATATCATTTATAATGATTTGCGATTATAAGTATCACGGTTAAATAAAAAAAAAAATAGTTTATTAAAAAATATATACAAATGTTTGAAAAAAGAATACTGAAAATTTATTATTAATATGTTTTAAAATGAAAAAAAAGATTTTCAAGATATGATAATCATAATCGTGTGCGATGAGATTCGATTATTGTATTTTATGATGTATTTTATGATGTATTTTATGATAGGATGGAATTGATGATTTGGTTGTTGACATAAATGAATGCCAAGTTTCGTGAGATATGTTTGATATTCTTGGTTGTTTTATGAATAATCGACCAGGAATCAAACATATTATTACGACGTTTGGTTCGAACAACATATGTCATATTACTCAGAGGTAATGTTATCGTATTTATGTATTATTCCATAGTTTATTATAAATATTTACGTATGAATTATATTTGAATTTGGGCAATAATTTAATGTTGAAATGTTTACCGTACAAAATATTAATGTTACTTCATTGAAATATCAAATATTTGAAAAAGAACAAGATGAAGAAAAAGATTTTCAGTAAAAATAACTATACTTAATAATAAAATTATATTTTTTCTTAAATATAATTCTACACAAATATTTCCATATAGAAATATTCTATTTAATATATAAGATATATAGAATTCTCTATTTAATTAAACAAGATTATTGTATAATTTCATTTAACCCTTCTTTGCATGATGATGGAAATTTCAATCATAATATTTAGTCAACAAAAAAAGGTACTCAAAACCCTTCTACTGTATATTTGTTGTTGTTGGCAACTTTTTAAGCGACTATTGCGTAAAACAAAACGCAGTTGTCAAAAAATAGCACTAGGATTTATTTTCAATATTTTTCCTTTAATCTAGAGCATTAATTACATCACCCTGATTTATTTTCAAAGAAAAGAAAAAATCATGCAAAGAAGGGTTAAAATGTTAACAATTTTACATAATACGAAAAAGAAAAAAAAATATTAATATAATCGTATTTGTTTTGTACAATATAAAGATATACAAATTTTAATATAAATTTATTGTGACCAATCTAACGATCAGAAATTATTTCTACTATTATTATCCGACAGATAATGATATTATTATAAATTTATCTGAATTTGACAGATATCAAGAGGAAAAAAAAGGAATGTATCGATGAATAAAACCTTCCATACTCTATTGTTCCTACTTAATGGGGGAATTCAACACAAACACATCGAAGAATCGAAGAATTTACGATGGATGAATGATATCGAAAGGGTTTTTTTTTTTCTCTATGGTATTCAAGATGATTAATTTTACTATGTGATCACGTTACCAATCCCTTTTCCTCTCAATTCCCCATAGTCCTAAACCGATAGTTATTCCATATAAACTGTCGATGTACACTACACTATTAATTTTTCTTAACGTTTAACAAAATTTTTCGTTTAAACAAATTGTCTTTGATATATTTTGGTGCTATGATAATACAATGTTTAATTACAAATATGATAACGTATTATCCGAAAATATAAAACATTCTAAATTCGGATAAGATCAATTTTCTATAGAGAACACGCGTGCAAATTTATTATCAAAGACACATTTAACAAAACACGCACACATTTTTCATCGTTAATTATCGATTTAATTTTTTTCTTTTTTTTTCGTATTTTAAACAACGACATGAGTACTTTTTTTTTTTTTTTTCCTCATCGATGATAATAATACCACGGTCAATTTTAATTAAAAAAAAAAAACAATTTTAAACATTTATAAAAGCTTTATATACGTATGAACAATTTTTGATTTACAAGTACAGGCAGTATGTAACAAAAAAAAAAAAGAATAATATAAAGAAAGAAAGAAAAAGAGAAAAAAAAACATAATACTCTCTAATGGTGTGCCATGATGTTCGAGAGATATTTAAGAAAAAAAAAAAAAAAA